GTGTCATGGGACAGACCGGCCTGAGGCCACCGCCATCACCAATGCGGCCTCTAATGGAGCAGGGGCCCACACGACCTTCGGGTGACAACCGAGCGCAGGTAGCAGTGACTAACGCGGGCAGAGGCACCCGCACTGAGCGGCAGACGCAAGGCGACGTTCTGCAACACCCTCGTGGCCAGGAGGGAGGCTGCTGCGTGGGCTTCAGTGGCCTTGCCCGTAGCAAAAGGGCCATCAAACACCCCGTTTACGAGGGGAGGCCTTGCCGGCGAGCGCACGAGCGCGGCCTGTGCGCGGCCTCCACACGTCCAGGCACCACCTGGACGTGTGGATAGAGCCAGAGTGCCTGAGGAGCCAACAGCAGGCTCTGGTTAGGGGAAAGTCACTATATTATTGTAGAACTTGGCAGGAGATGGATTTAGGGCTTCTGTTAGACTACAAGCACCAAAATGAACTGCAAAAACAATAGCACAAAGCAAAGCCGAGGAAGATGGGAGGGTGAGGAGGAAAATGACATCTATTTTGCAAAGATGAAACAAAAAGTGATTCCATGCCCAAATGGCCACGTGGTGAGAATAAAGGTTACTCTATATGCGTAGGGCAGCTCTCCAGGCCACGGAGAGGACTGGGGGTGAAAAGTTTCTCTTGCAGAGACACCAACGAGATGGCTGCAGCATGAACGTCCTCCCGGCTCCTCTGCAGGGATTCCAACAGCACCAAGGGAAAACATCCCCAAGGGAACGTCCATCCGCCTAAAGCGGCACCTACAACAGCGAACAGAATTCCTGCTCTTCCCAGCTCCAGAGGCAACGCAGAGCTGCAGGTACCCAGGTACACGTCCTGGCCTGCGGGCACGTGGTGCCAAAGGAGGGCACCTGCTGAGATGTTCTGAGGGGGAAGGACACAGGCCTTACCAGGGTGCTGCACTTGCCCAGTCCTCCCTGAGGTTTTCCAAGCCAGAGCAACCAGCACGGACACCCGGGCTTGGCCTCAACTCCACCCGCTGCGCATTGCAAGAAGCATTTCAAGAGTCGGGTTCCCCTCTGGCTGAGCCTAAACACCTCTAGGCAATACTGAACAAGACTTCTGTCACAACTGGAAGTCTTACTTCTTTCCCAGAACAGCGTTAGAGCAAGAAAGAAGTCGTTCCACGAGCACTTCTCAGTTCCAAGGAACAACAAGAACCGGTGAATGGGATTGTGCTCCCATGAGGGACCAGAGCAGCTTCCCAAGGGTGAGAGAGACCTGACCCTCAAGGGTTTAGATGGGCATCTTTGGATCCTCCTCCTGTTCTGCACAACTCCAGAGAGACTAGCAGAAACTTCGACGCAACTTTGAAAGTCGACACAATCCTAGAGCAGATCTGGCACCCAGGACTATTCTGGCTTGTCACAATGGGGACAATTCTCAAGATTCATACATTTTTAACCAGATGAAATTATGATCATCTGACCGATGTCTTTCATAACCATAACTACACTGTACTTTCATCTAGAAGTCATTTAGAGCAACTTTTTGGAGCCAATTAGTCATCTTGACCATTCCAGCACAACCATCCAGACCAGTGGGCAGAATCGGGACGTGCACTAGAGCCTGCGCGGAGCTGCGAGTGCGTCCCAAGGGTCACCAATCCAGCAGGGTAGAACAACCCTAGAAAGCTGCAGAAATGCTTCTGTCTGTCCAAAACCTAGCCAAAAGAAACCTGCAGCACCAAAACAACCAACCTTTTGTCTTTCAGATTTATTAAAACGGCTCTTATTTACATTTGTTTTAATCCTAGTCCTCTTCCCTATTGGAATGCTGGTGCTCCCGCAGCAGTAAGGCAAGCGGCTCGTGGTGGAAGCTCCTCTTTCTCCCTGCAACAGCTTCTAGTATCAGGACTTGATGTAACAGGACCTTTCAAGTCCACTACCCTAGAAAAGGCAGTGGATGTTGGATGGTCCTGGAGCACACGAGTGGCTGCATTTTGAACTCCTTTCCAGTCCAACCGTATGGTCATGACTTATGCACTGAGCAGGAGGACAGAGCCATTGCCCATTCCTCCCATCCCAGTGTTTCTCAGCTGTGCCCTTTCCCAAGGGCCTTTTAAAACAAACAGGAATAACATGCAGAAGGCAGTGCTGGGAGAAGGAGAAAACCACCACGTCCCACTGGCATCCAGCTGCATCAGGGCTGCCACCGCTCAACACTTCCAAGGAGAACAACGCCAAAGAGGTAAGTCAGGCCATGCTGGAGGCAGAGCTTCATATTCACTGCTGCAGTACAAGACTTCCCAAGCTTGTGCCATCCAGACATTACCTGCACCCCAAAATAAATCCGAGCAGCTGAAAACCCCGCAGTGACACAGCGGTGACGCTGCCAGCGCTCAGCCCGCAGCTCCGGGGCCCTGCAGGCCCCGACGCGGCCCAGGAGGCCCCGCTCGCTGCCAAGGACCCGGCCAGGACGTCGCGTCCTCCGAAGGCCCCGGGCCCATCAGCTGGGCCAGAGCTCAACGCGCGGCCAGGCCGGAGCAGACAGCCCAAAGTGGGATAAACTGCTCTGCTCCTGCCCGGAACGCAGCAGAACGGAGCGGCTGAACCACCGCGTTACAGGGGCACAAGCGGAGAGAGCAGCGATCTGACCCCGGCCTAAGAAACAAATTATTTAACGGAAAACAAAAAACACACAGGAATAGTTCATCACAGGCACAGGAACATTGTTCCTCTACTCCATGGTATCCTGTTGTCTCTCACAGGGATGACATGTTTTGGAGGACAGTGGGGGAGATTCAGTAACAGCAGAACACTTAAACACGAGCAGTTTATCACAACAACAACAACACATTACACCAGAATTGCTCAGGATCTTCATCACAGGACCAAAGTGCAACACGTTTTTCCAGGCACAACAAGAACAGGGTCAGCTGGAATGATACGAATGACCAACATGGAAGAACACAACTCATTTCAGATACAGAAATGTTTAATGGCGTTAAAGTGCTACTTTAATGGGGAACCATATGCTAACATTTAAACACAATTCCACTGCACTGCTAAATATAGTTGTCTTTATTCTTTTTTTATTTTATTTTACCTCTTTTTGCCCAACCCTACTTAAAACAATAAAATAAAATCTACAGGACTGAAATTAACAACCCATTCAGATCAGCAATAAGTTATGAATTTTATAAAGCATTTTTTTCCTCTTTTTTTCCTTAGTAATGAGGGGTAGTTAAATTACTTAAAGATATACAAAGTTTCAAACAATGCCATAGGTGAGGACTCTATTAAGGTTTTTAAAACTTGGAAAACAAAATATTCCTGGCCATTAAAAAGACGAAAATAAAAAGGTAAAGCCCTCAAAGTGCAGGTTAGAACGCTCGGCTCCAAGAAAATCCGCAAACATTCGATACAATAGCTCCTAACAGCACCTGCACGGGTAGGATGACAAGGCCCTTGGGAACAGGACGTGCAGTCGAAACGTTACCTTAATGAGAGACGTGCTGAGCTTAACTAGGTTAACTACTGGACTGGAACTTCAAAAGGCAGCAAAGGGAATGATTCTAAAAAGAAAACCAAAGAAACCCCCACCAAACCTGGCCTTTCCAGCTGGCACAGCCTTCATCCGTTGTGTGCATGGCAAAAAGCATCTTTGTGTTTCATTGGGTCAAGTGCTTCATTGGAACAGAGATCTTTTCATGGCGTTAATTCATATAAAAGACATCTAAGGTTTCGTATGGACGAGCTCTAAAAAGACACGTCAGACTTGGGGTGTTTGCCCTCCCAACACATTTTACAAATGTTTTATCAAAAATCTCTTCAAATAAAAAGATCGTAGTGGCTCAGTATCTGGGCTTGTCCTTCTGGCCCAGCAGCTCTCTTAAGTGCTGGCTTCTTTCTGTCCTCAGTTGTCTGGGTGCCTGCGCACGCGTCTACCGGGAGATCTGCTGTCGGTGTCACAGCCCCAGTGGTGACAGCCCACGACGTGCTGGTAGCTTACAGGTTTGCACCCCTTGCTTTGGCCACGCATCAGAGGTACTTGCTTTTTAAATGACGTTCAACAGAAAGCTGAGCTGAATGGTGTTCTCTCCTGAACATGCTTCTCTGCTGCCCCTCTCCCTCTGGGCACCGAACAGCAGTCGTTACCGGTGTTAGATTATTCCTAGGCTACATAAGCCTTCAAAGACTTCCTAGCAATTTACAACAGCGTTGGATTGTGATAAACTGCAGGACACGGTCCTTTCAGGACCACAAAAGCTCTTCAGAAGGGCCTAAACTAGATTGTTCAATCTGAATGCAATATAAGAAATTGTGACATTTCTCAGATCTCATGGCAGAAAGAGAGGGATGAGTCTCTAGTATCCTCTTTCAAACAAATAAAGTCAAAATAAAGTGTTTCATCGCTAAGGTCTAAATGCAAGTCCCACAGAAACAAATGGATAGCTCATCATTAACTTTAAAGGGACTAGGGTTTGGTCTAACTTTTTGCCAGTAAGAATTGGTGTTGGTAACATGACCAAATGAACATGTATTTGGGTTTCTGTGGAGGCTTCCTCTACCCAAAAGGCTTTATTTACAGGTTTCTCCAGGACTAGGTGTCAACATGTCATTTCTGAAAGAGGATACTGGCATCTAGGACCCAGCTTGATCACCCCAGTGAAATCATTTGCCCTGCACTGTCACCTCACTTGGCTCTAGGAAGCAAACGAGAGCTTGACGCTGGCGCTGGAGTAACCCTCATCACTCCCAATACTCTGCAAGCTGCTGTGATCATCAATGTCACTGATGCTGGTTGTGCTGATATTGTCCACTTCTCCATGGGAGAACTCTGTGCTTTCAACGTCCACTTCAATCTCTTCTAAAAAGGGAAATAAAGAGAAACACACACAGGTTAGTACCACCAAACCCAACTGCTCCCTTCTTGCCACTGTGACCCTCCCAGTCAGGGAGGAAGCAGCAAACAGGCAAGAAGTATTTCAGCAGTCCCCACCAAAGTGGGATAAACTGTGGACATTCTTGTGGACACAAGACACCAGCTCAGAGATTTTCTTAGGGACTCAGCTAAGGGTTTGGACTCCTCCAGCATGTGGTCTGCACTGCCTCAATAGGTGGGTCACACCAGGCACTCAACTTGTCACTCTACCTCTTTCTTGGGAGCATCATTACCCTCCACTGATAGAAAACAAGACAGAGAGAACAGAGGGCAACAGAGAAAACAGAGCATGAAGTTTCCCCTGTAACATGCTACCTGTGTGATACCATTTGCCAACACTGGAACCACTCATATAGGGTAAGAAAATACACTGCCATGGGGATCTGGGACTACTTGCAGGAGATGCGAAGTGGATTTAAGAGCTTAAACCTTATTTTCATGAGAAACTTAGAAAGTGGAGATCTATGCAGTTAATAATCTTGCTCCCATAGCATTTAGGAACTTTCCAAAAAGATTTTCTATTTTAAACTGCAGACTCCAGCTCAAAGTGTAGAACCTCCTTGAGTCTATCACTAAATACCAAACTGTTTATTTTGCCTAATTGGGATCTAGAGTGGAGATGTTTCAAAGGAGAAAACAATCTCAGTTCATTGTTAAAAGCAGATAAAGACGATCTGAGTGGTTAACTGAGGAGAATAATTGCTTGGGGAGAGACGGGGGAGCTTAGAAAGATTTCAGGAATTTTAAGAGGCAATTTGAATTGATTCTGTTTGCTTGTTTATACCATGGTAGGCCCAACACATGGAACATCCTAGACAGAATGAAAAGCTGGATATTGCTTTCCATTATCTGCTCCACTCCCATCTAAACCCTTTACAGGAAACATCCAGGCTCACTCCAGCTAGACCTGCATTCGCAAATTACAACTGCTGCTGGGATCCAACTGTCTGCAGTTCAACAGCTTTACTATGGCCTGATTCTGTTCTGGTCTTGGGGACTGAGGGTGAATCTGCACATGGAGAATATCGCCTAGTTTAGTTTCAACCAGAAAGAACCTCCTCTAGTGGCTTCACAACCCCTCCATGTGCCAGCCAAAACAGGGACAGCAGGAGATTCATTTCAAAGGGCGCTCTGATCTGTGCTGAAGCACTAGTGCAGATACACCCTTTATTTTTGGGCTAGAAACTAGTAAGGTCTTTCTGCTTTCTCTTTGCATTGCAGCAGACAAAAGAACACAACATGTATCTCACCAGATACTGAATACCTGAGTACTATCAGGTATTTAGTTACTAGCTTTTGACCACAGACAGCTATTTTTCATATCACACATTTTGATATTCTAGAAAGCTGTTCAGAGAATCTGACTCTCTAAATGCCACAAAAATTGGCTCGAGTCAAGAATAATGTGTCTTCCAGACTTAATCAGAACTGATACTAAATTATATACGCATTCACATGTGTGTGTACACGTGTGTCACGTGTACTGAAAGCAGTGACTGAAACGCCAGTGAGAGCCCAGCGAGAGGGGCGGCTCTCGCGCTGCCCCCGGCTCGCGGGCGACGCTCACCTCGCTCCGAGTCCGAGCGGTCAGAGGAAATGGTAGAGCCAACGCTGTCCATTCGTATTCGCTCTATCTCCTGAGGACCCTGTAGCTGTTCCAGTCTTCTCTTTAGGAATCTTTGTTCTCGTTCCAGGTGCTCAAGCTGGTGTTGGCTTCTCCTCTCAGTCTCCTCAAGTTTCTGATGTAATCAAGCACGAATCAACAATTATTTTAATCCTTTTCTCCTTCCCTCCCGCCGTCGCTGACCAGCCACATGCTTTGCTTAGACCTTCCCAGCTCCCAGGAGGATTCATGCTGCAAAAGATCACTGAACCAAGCTGCCTCCCAGTGTCCAGTGACCATCTCATCTCCTCCTATCTTTGCCATTCACAAATCCTGCTAAATCATACACATCATCATAAAAAAGACTTTGACGACAGAGCATCTCTAAAGGAAACTATTGAATTGCAGCAGCACAGGGGTTGCTCTGCACGGTTAGCAGGTGCATTACCGGAGCTGGCCACAAAGGGGCCCCAGTTCCCCACGCAAACCCATCCCGTATGCGTTGGGATTCAGTGCAACACAAAAACGTGTCCTGGGAGCTGCGTGTTCCTCGCTGCCTGATTTGGTAGGATTTCTCAGAAACAGTTTTTTATTTAATACGTGATTTACGTAACGTACTACAGACTTCTCTGATCCCAGCTGGGAAACCTCCCAGGGCCCTGTTCTTTGTTTCCTGTGGCAAGCGCGTTGCATAAGAAGGGAGTCACTTCAGGCTGACCGTGTCCCTTCAGCAGGGCTCTTCCTCCCTCCCACTACACTGAGCTGTGACAAAGGATTTCAGCCTTCTCCTGACACACACAATGCTGCGTTTTCTGCTAATGCTTCCCCTTGCCAGAGGTGATTCAAGAAGAGCGCTGGGCTAGCTGGCAGGACCTCAGATGAAATCCCGAGAAGGGTTTCATTTCTGGATTAATGTTTCAGCATCAGGAAAGTTCCTTTTCCCATCAAACTGCAGTCATTCAAGCGCAGCAGACACGCTTCTCTTTAAAGAGCTGCTGCTGTCAACAACTGCTCACAATGCCCAACAGGACCCCTGCTCTCCAAATCAATCATTCCTGTCGTTAACGGACTTCATTATGGACTCTTCCAACAATGTGGCTCGTAGGGATGATAAATGATTAACGGAGGGGGCAATGCCATTTCTCCCTTTCTTTTTAAAAAGGTATTAGCCTCTTTCAGAACAGATTTACCACTGGGCAGCAACAGCCAGCAACTGAGTGGTGCTTCCAAGGGCTCAGAGGGAAAGGAGCCGGGAAGAGCCGCCCTTACCTCGACGGAGCTTTGGCCCTTACCTTGATGTGAGCTTTGGCTTTGTTGAGCAGCCCCAGCGTTGTGTGCCTGGTGCAGTCTGGCCCCAGCGGGATCAGGACTTTTAAGCGCTCTAGACACAGGCGGAGGTGAGCGCGGCTGCAAGGCGAGAGGCAGAGGATCAGAGCTGTGTTTTGGGAGCAGGAATTTCATGCCCTTTTCTGCTCCCGCCTCCACCAGACACCCCTCAGGCTTCCCTGCCTTCCCACACATCCCAGGACCCCAGGCCAGAGCGCCACGGGGCTGTTTGCTCTGCAAACAGCAGAACCTCACCAATACCCGCACTATTGCTGACCTCCGACGGACACTGTTTATTTCCCTGCCCTCTGAACTGATAATTTCATTCAACTGCATGAACTTTGGGCAGAAACAAGCGGTGCTCAGGCTCGTTGGCTGCACATCGCTGTTATCTGCTGTGCTGAGAAGAGCATACAGGAAAGTGCTTTGAACGACGAGCACCCTGTGTTCATTTGTGCGTCAGTGGTTCAGGGGCATTTGCTACAAGCTGATCTAAGCAATGTTTCTTTCCCAAGTCGTCTTCTAACCACAGAAAATATTTAGAAGACCAGTGAGCAAAACAGTTATCTCGAAGCAGACGAATGATCCTTAATGGCAGTTAAAGGGGCTGCTCAGCACTGCTTGAGGGAGAGCAGCTCCCAAGTGCTGGGCTCTGCTCCTTCCTCTGGGCCCGGGTATCAAACGTCGCAGGGGGTGCAAGATCCCTGGGGAAAAAGGAAAAGCCAGCACCTTCCCGGGGTACTTCTGTGACCTTGAATCGTATCTACACAGCCGGTCTCCAGGGCTGTAGCTCTGCTGATGCTCTGAGCCATTTCTACAGACTATGCCAACACGTTCTGGGCAACATGGTTTGGGGGACAGTGGCAAAACGCGTTACCCACCTGCCTGGGAAACCCCTTCCTGCCTCCTCCCGGCCTGCACGGGCACGCAGGAGCCACCGGCAGGTTTATGGAAAGCTCTCAGGTGGGGGTTGCCTCTTCCCCCCTCCCTCCCTCTCTGCCCCAGATGATTTATTAATGATTTACGTCCAAACTTGACATCCCAGTCAGGAATACAATGACATCAGCCCCCTACTCAAACGCAAGGGACACCGGTGCGAAGGGGTCCCTAAAGCCTCTCCCAGGCCCTGCTCGTGCACAAAGAAACGGAATCTTAGCCTGCTCCATCTCAATGCAAAGAGGGGGAAACAAAAAAACAACAACAGAAAAAAAAGGGGGGGGGGGAAATGGCACATGGACAGTTCATTTCCATCTTATTTTTCAAATTCCCCATTGCTCCCAGTTTGAAAGGGCTGGAGGAGTCTGTAATCAGGCAATTATGTCAGTGACAAGCAAGGATGATTAAGGGTGGAAGGGTCAGGGGTTTTGCTGATGAACTGCCAGTGCAGAGCAGTGTTCACGAGCGGTGCCGGAGCTCTGAGCTCCTCCTCAGTGTTTCTATTATAAATCCCTTTACAAAGGGTCCATCATCCTGTCTGGAACAGCCATAGGGCTGCGTATAACCCACAAGAGCCCAGAGGAACACGTGGTTTTCATTAAGTGTTAATTTTGCGTATGTGTGTTGGAGGAAAAGAAATAACACAATCTCCCAAACCACATCGATCTCGTCTCTTCTTCCCCCAGCTTGCCCAAAGCCAAACCCCACTCACATCGAACCTGTATAGCTGATGGGAGGACGCTTTTGGCTACCTGCAAACGGGGCCCTTTGGAGCTGGCAGCTCCTTCTCACCTAGGAGCTCTGTGCAGCTCCTGCAGCTCCCTGTGCACCTCCCGCAGCTCCCTGTGCAGCACCTCCTGCAGCTCCTGCAGCTCCCTGTATACCTCCATGCACCTCCTGCAGCTCCTGCTTCGCCCAGGAGCCTCGGGGCCTGCAGGCACAGCAAGGGGAGAGCCTGCCCGGCAGAGGCACCGTGGTTCACATCAGCCTGGGGGGGACAGGGCACTGACCTCCAGCACGCAGAGAGCCTCAAGAAGGAGGGCCTGGCGTCCTTGCATGTCCCCTGCCAGGGTAACTGCGGGATTCTCCACCCAGGCGCGCTGCAGCGGCCCCGGGCTGCAAACCCGAGTGCGTGGAGCAGGACACGTCGCAGGAGCGCCCGCTCCGAGCCCGGCGGGGGCAGGCCAGGCCCTGCCTCCCCATGGGCACAGTTCCCTGCTGCCTCCTCGCAGGGCCACCGCGGAGCCTCCGCGCACACCTTACCCTGCACACCTCGAGCTGTGACACCACCGCGGTCCCCAGGCTCTCTCAATGCCCAGGGACCCACGCTGAGCACCACGGGCTCGGAAACCAAGCAACAAAAAGGCGAGTCTGACACACTGATGGCCGAGTTAAGTAAAACACAGAAATAAAACCCTATCAGAGCTCAAAAGCATTCCAGGCAATTTAACAGAGCTGAAACAGTCCCCACTCCAGGGGGACAGGGATCGCAAACCTGTTAACCTTTCTTACCCCGGCGTGGGCAGGTCAGGCTGGATGCGAACGTGTGTCCCCGCGTTTGCCTGAGCCCTGCTGCCACGCGGCTGTGACACCGCCGCGGGCTCCTGGAGTCACCGAAAACACCGGCACTCGCAGAGCCGGGCGGCCTTCCCTGCAACCGCGGGATTACGCCAGCGTCGGCCGCATCTGCCAACGCCTGGAAAAACCAGTCTAAGTGCCCGAACGCAAGAGGAACAACTTGGGCTGGGTAGAAGGGCTGGCGCGTCTCGCTGCCTCAACCCCAGGGAAGCCAGAGGAGGACATGGGAAGAGAATTCCAGTCGCAGCCGAGGCCAAAGCCTTTGCTTGCCGCAGGGGAGACCCCTCCTCCCGCTGGCCCACGCGGGACCACGGGGCCACACGTGGGTTATTCCTCCCTCCCGCCGCGGCCCCGGCTCCGCGCAGCCCCGGCGCGCTCGGCTCTGCCCGCCGCAGAGGCTGCAGCCTCCAGTGACATCATTCCCTCCGATTACATAAGGTGCTGGGAGGGAGCCGGGATCTGTGCCTGCTTTTTGCTCCTCGCCTTGCTGCAAAGCACACGTCCACATCCCACTGCGGGAACCGGGATCCCGCTCGCCTCCAGCAGGACTGCAGTGCAGGGAAAGGCTTGGGTGCAAAAAAGGGGGGAAAAAAGCAAAAAAGGAGAAGAAGAAAAACATCCCCATTTCCTTCTACTACTTCTCTGGGGTTATTTTCCCAGCAGAGGGTGGGACTCAACCTGTGCACCGCTCTGCACCACAGCGAGCTCGACACAGGGCTCGGGGACCCACGGTGGCAACCCAAGCCCGGTTCTGCTGGCCGCAGAGGGGGCAGAAACCCACGAGCTCAGCGATGGGGCAGCGCGTTCCCCAGCTCCAGCACTGCCCCATAGCCACCCCCAGCTGTGCTCAGCTTGGCTAGCCCAGGCTTGGACACCCACGACACTCACCCATGTCCACATGCCCGTCTCCAGGAGGCCGAGCCTCCCTCCCAGCCTTTCCCAGCAGGAAATGCCCAGCTGGCCTCCAGCAGCACTTCAAAATGCTGAGTTTTAGCTTGTTGAAAGAAGGGAGCATCCGATGGAAAAGGAAAGCGTTTCCCAGATATTTGTGTACTATGCCTACAGGTCTGGCAGGCTTGAATTCCACAATATGTAAGCGTGTGCTTAACATTAAGGACATGCTCAAGTCCCACTGAGGCTGAGTCAAACACTTGATCTTAAAGGGGGGAGGAAAAAAAAAAAAAGAAAAAAGAGAAGAACAAGAACAAGCAGAGGCGAGATCTTGACATGGAAAAGAACCTTATTATCCTTCCTCTCTGCCCTCCTCTTCCTTCCTCACCTTTTCCAAGAGTTGAGTTTAATTTAACCCTGAAATTAGAAACTGTCGACTTTGTTTGGATTGCAGAGCTAACAGATCGCTTAAAAAATTCAGCAGAGGTCACTGGTTAAAGAAGGCAATTCCTGGAGAAATGCAAGGGACCCCACATCAATAATGCATTGGGCGAGAATGATTTTGAGATAAAAGTAATGAGAAACGCACTCAGAAACCACAGGGCATGGAAAATGGGGGGGAAAAACACGGTTTCCTCCACTAAGCAATTCCCAGGTCAGCGGCTTCCTTGGCTCCCGTCATGCGGCTGGATGCTCCGGCCTCGCTCCAACCCCAGCCCTCCCCAACCCCGAGCTCCGCGGATGCCGCCTGGTCGAGTGGTCGTCGGTTGGTACTGATGGCTCCCTGGCATACAGAAATGCTTGTATTGCAAGCGCTCCTAAGGTCTGTCTTTAAAAAGAAACCATGGGGGGAAAAAGTCTTTGATATCTACAAGAAACAAATGAAAATTTGGGACCTAGGATAGAGATTTGACAATGTATCATAAATAGGATTTGAAAGAAACAAACGAAATCTACTGGCAAAATATTCATCCTGATCTTAACCCGACCTGATTGGAGTGCAGAGGTTTGAAATAAACATGCACCCAACTGTATTCTCAGGGCAGCGACGGACAAAAAACTAACCAAAAATCAAGAAGCCAGTGATTAAATAAAAGTAACAAAACTGAAAATCAGGCAGTGCAGCTTTTCAAAGCCACACGAATCAAGGCACCTTCCGCCGGTACCAACCCGTGTAACGCGGAGGTCACTAGCACGATGCTCCAGAAAGGAGCAGCCTCAGCAGCTCCAAGGTACCAGTGCCCCCCAACACGGCGACGCGGCAGGACCGCCTCGATCACAAAAACCACGCAGGGCAAATGGGGAAAGGAAGTAACTTACGGAGAAAGTGAAACACCGGGAAGAATAGGACAAGCATTGAGACACACAAACTCTCCTGCACATCTGGAACAGAGGCTACAAGCTTTTACATAAAGGTAAAACAAGCATTTTAAATTAAAATACATTGCCCACGCTCCCCATTCTGACCCTTGACAGCAGCTGCAGTCCAGAGCAGCAGGATGGGAGCCCTTCAGCTCTCTCACCGCCTTTACTGTGCTTTCCAGCAGACACTTCTTTGGGGAGAAAAAATTGAAAGCGATTTCCCTCTCCACTCCCTCGAACACCTTGGAAAGGGCAGCCCAAGCCTAGATCCCATCAGTCAACAGCCAAAAGAATCAGAAATTCAGGGAGGGAGGCGGCAGGGCTGAGGACAGACCTTTCCTC